ACGTGGAGTTGCCCTTAGTTAGTGCTGCATCAGTTCATAATTAGTGAAAGGAATGTTGCAGTCATCTGCCTTGCTGAGCATTAAAGCAAACAACGTCTCTCCCTTGCATCATATTTGTCCATTAATTTGCCTGTGTGGTACTAGGAAGATTGTCATGCTAGATGTAGCAGCCCAAGCACTACTAACTCATTCGCCCTATGTAAGGGATGAGGGTGCGCGATCTGGCCCAGTTCTGTTACCCTTAATTCTATTTATGTTCCCTCCATGCCCGGCTAAGTGGGGTGTGAGCATTGAGACCATTGACAAATTGTTCCCAGTCTGTTTGCGCAGCTCTGTCATACGCTCTCTGGCAGCAGCAAGGGCAGTTTGGAAGAGGCTCAGCATTTCAGGGGTACGATGGTTTCTATAGGCTAGGCCTAGTCTGCGAGCAGTACGTTTCAATGTTCGAAGTTTAGAATCATTGTAATAGGTATGGTTTTTATAAGACTTATGATTATTATGGAAAGTACATTTGGATTTAGATTAGTAGGAGGTTTTCAGAGGCTGGCTCTAAGAAGTTCTGAATACTGCTCACTGAAGGTCATTGTTTAAATGTTCTCGACAGGAATTGAACACTCGTAGGGAATATAATACCCAGTCAGTCACATGTGCAACAAAAGTTCCTCATGCTTGACAGGCGGAAACATTAAGAATTCGTTTCCGTTTGAATATCCCCACCAGGGAAGGATGTATTACCAATATCTAGAGAGGTAGCCTTGGGAATTGATCAGACGCTATATCTGTTACAATGGGAGAAGACTCACAAGCTGGCAGTAAGTTAATGATGAAGCCCAGGCACAGAACAAGGCGGGATCACCTCCATTTGATGTGTGGGTTCAAGTGTCATCCTACAAAATTTGCCTCATTATCATTGAGGGAATGTTAAGTAGTGAAAAGTGATTGGCATTGTACGATTACCAAACTGAGAAGTTTCCATTGCTTTTGTTGTACTCTGCAATTATAATCACCTGATTAATGAGAGTAGGTTCAGAGACTGAGCACAAGTTGGGCAGCCTCCTGAGTAATTAAACTTTATCAGCGGAGGCGTTTACAAGTTAATATATGTTGAGAGCATGAGTTCCCAATATAAATCCTAACACCTGTGATACTGTAGCCCTCTGTTTTCTTTTGTGCAAGAAGTTGATGGGGAAGTGATTTGTTTAATTCTATGTGAACACCATAAGAATTTAGTTAGATTTGAGGTGTTATTATTGATCAACAAGACGTTGGCAATTTAGGGGGTTGGGGATTTTTCAGGGACGCTGCACTCTTGTAGATTAGACACACAAATCAATCGGCAGTCAGTGGTTACTTTATGATGCAGGTCAGAAAATTCTTTTTTCTAAGTGCGCAATATTCATCTTAAACATGGATAGTTTGTACGAGTTTGGTTCATTACAAAAGTCCAGGGGATAGTATTCAATTTTCAGCAAAATGAAAAAACTACTAACCAAGAAGCATTTAAATACAATATGCAATAATTCATCAGATTGTCTTATCCATGAGGACTCCTAAGTAAACTTCCATTAGTGAGACCTCTTGGAGTCTTTGGTTTTCAAGCGGGGAGGAGGTCACGGCGCTCTTTGTCTAGTGGATGTATGGGAAGGGGGTCACTATCCCTCGTCACTCAACTCTCTGCTTTTATTACACTCATCACTATAAACAATCAATGTATCCTGCCCTCATTCAATCTATGACCGTTGATAAATACAACATTTCGAACAACAGGGTCATCTCCCTCACTCATGTGCTCCTGGTATACCTAGCTGTCCCTCGTGATAACTGACCCCATAACCTTCCTCATTCTCGTTGCCTACATACTTTTGCAAAGATTTAAAGTCCGCAATCACATAAGAGATTATTGCTCTAATATGCTCAGGACCCCTCCCCCTCCCTTTTTTGGGCACCAAATACAACTACCCCCGTACTTTTGCAGAATGCCCTAACCTCCCCCTCCAAATTGAGCATGCATTCAGTGCATCCAACCAAACAATGCTACTATCCTTCCCCAATGCGCCCCTATATAAAAAACCATTCGAATGCCATCTATACCTGGGTTGACCTTTGTCTTACTCATACTAAAAATCGCCCTCCTCTACCCTCGCTCCACTCGATGTTATTCTACCTCTAGTACGTTCTATCCCTGTCTCTTCTGAACTTTTCTCTTCTGAACATCCTCCCCACCAGGCCCAACCCAGCGTTGTGACCCCCTACTCCCTGCATAGCTTTTCGTCAAGAGACCATAGATCAGCATTTAAAAACTCTATGCTAGTTCATGGTGTAGGAGTGACTTGACTGGCAGGTACCACCCAAACCGTGGCTACTTCAATTGCAAGAGGGGACGTTTGCTGTTGTCTGCCCTAAAATTTGCGCAAGACACACGGAAAGAGTTTTCACCCCAGAGCACTTCTTCCATACCTGCTGCTGACTCAAACCGCATTAAAAGGTTCATTGTGCAGATTTCCTGCAAGTCGAGTACGAAGATGTTCAATGTTCGTCATACCTAACTACTTCCACTCCTCACCTACGTAATCACTTTGCTGCCCTTGTCCAATAATAGTTTTTGTAGCCCATTACATCCACCTTGCCTCCTCTTTCCCCGCTTCTTATAATAACTTCGCGGTTCCAGGTTTGGCACGCGTTTCCACCATTCAACAATAGAACATTCATCTGCCCTCTGCGTATCCCAGCATATTCTTCACCAACCTTGAAAAGCAGACCTCCCCTTCCCCTCCAAGAGCCCGCCCATATCAGTTTCCATTACCCTGAAAATAAACCCTGATCCCATTCTCTATCCTAGGCCAAGGTCCGAAAGCCCTGCTCGGTGATCGGAAGATGAAACCCCAGATCAAGGGTCTGTATGTGCCCAAACTCAGAATACCTTGTGTTGCATAAATCCTATCCAGATTGGGCTGCGTAGCCTCTGCACACAAACGTATGTTCACTCCCTATCTCACCCCTCCCCACTTTACATCATAAACTCCCTGCATCCCCCAGCAAATTTCTCAGGACAGGTTAGAACGCACCACGCCCCTCGGTCTCAATATTCCCCATGGCGGATAATGCAATTTCCAATCCCCATAAGACTGGAAATTTAAAGACAAACCCCGAATGTGAAACGTTGTTAAAGCCTCCCTCACGAAGTTCTACTTTAACTTTAGAGCTTGTACTGTCCGTGGCATATAAACTCTGATAATACAAATCTCTACCCCACCCCAATCCCATCCACCCTTACCACACCGTCCATCTCCCTCCTCCCATCCAAGACGCTCAAGGGTTGACTCCCTTCACCCGCTATAACCCACCCCACCCGTTAATTTTAAAGAATACTCACATACATACGAGTAGCTTGTGTCTAACGTAAACTCTTACCAAATTTTTTAATTTATGTTCTTGCATAACAACATTAACATTCACATCGTAACAGATGCAAAAAAAACCACTCCATCCACAACTTTTTTAACTTCCTCCGTAGGCCATTTGGCCAATGATAGTATCACACTTTGTATTTGACAAAAAAGGTGGTTTCCTCTATGTGTTGAGGGTTGACTTCCTGTTCCCACGCACATTAGACTGCCCTTTTTGTTCTTCGGCTTCTCGAGAAACCCCGCTCCCCCCCATTACTCTACCCTTATGCTGTGACCTTGAAACTAATCCCTTATGTGATAGGTGGATCCTCAGCACTTTCACCACGATTTCCTCCGGCGCACTGTCGGGTGTCATGACAGTCCATATCCGGATGTTCCCGCGATCGTTTGCGTTGAGCTGACCTCCACATGCATCTCCTCGCTAGCACGTAGCCTCCGGGGCCCCATCCCCCCCCCCGCCCCCGCCCCCGCTGAAGACCTCCACCTCACCACTCATGCATCTGACAAACGTGGTTTTGTGCCTGCATTTCCATTGTTAGGGGATTCCTTTAGTTTTAACTCATGACAACGCCGTCGAAAACAACAGGACCATGTTCTGTTCCATCTAGAAGGTTCCTGCAAACGTCTTCCAGAACTTATCCTGTGGCAAAAAACCTCCAGGGCCTCACAGGGGGTCCACTGAAAGGCACTTGGGGCACGGTCGATGCATCCACTGACAGGGTGGCAACACATCGTAGAACTGCGTGTCCTGTTGGCATCTCGTCACTCCCAAGTCTGGGACTTGCCCAGCTGAGGTACCAGCTCAGTTCGAAAGGCCTCAGCCCGTAGGCCCACATGTGAATGGTCCCGAGAGTGGCAACCGGGTCTGACGGCGCTGGCACTGGGGCAGCCATATGTCAAACGCGTTGCATAGTGGCTGCACGTCTTCCTTGGCTCCCGGTGTAATGGAACTAACACTGGGTCCTATAGTTCTCCAGACGTACATAGAGGGAAATCGACTGGCGGAGACGTCATCTTGATGGTGAAGGAAGCCCTCCGGGAACCGTGTATGGGCCCTCTCTCCCACTCCCTTGGGCACTGGCATGGAGCACCCGTACCGTATCTGCCAACAAAAACATCCCGCCAGATCGTTACTCCGCCTCGAAAGGAGTTCTCACCTGTGACCCAGGTGAATATCGATGCGACACGTCATGTAGCAACTTCCACAGCTCGCGAACTTCACCACCATTTCGTCTTTCTTGAAAAGTTCCACAATCTTGTTGTAGAAGCTGCGCCATTCACGAATTTTATAAAACATCCTCGACATCCCGTTCCCAAAGCTACGGCCTTGCCATCATAATTCTTCATTGGGGATTGCCGTAGACGTCGGGTATATAATTGTCCTCTGGCCATCAATGTATGCATTGTAGACAGAAACATGAGGGAGCTGTGTGAATGCAAACACAGACCGTGTTTACTCTCCTGCCCTGTGACGGTCCGCATCTTGTGACTTGTAGTGGTTCCTCTGAAAACTGCGCCGAAATCAAGTTGAGAGTTCAGGAGTAAGCTGTCGCAGCTGCGCTCCACACGGCCCGGAGAGGGTCGATGAGGACAATGACCCTGAGATATTACCTGCTGTCCGGAACTTCGTGTTGTGACCCTCCCCCCACCCGTGATTTCCGACCACGTCTTCTTCTGAACGTTGTCAGGGGTCAAGATATCATCGTGAGTCGGACGGGGGTCGCCGCATGCTTCTAGAACAGCATCTTCAGGAATGTCAGAGTTGGAGTGTACTCCTTGTGAATTCTGCCTCACAGTGTATGAACCCTCGAACTCTCCAGATCTCGCTCTTCAGCTATCTGAATCAGGCCTCATCCACACGTAATCTCACCTCATCAGAAGTCTTCAACAAAGGCACACACGACCACAGAATCCGACTCACGGCGATGCTAATATGTCACTGCAACGCATATACGAATAGTGCGGCCTCCACATCTCCTGCTTTCTTCTAGAGGGATTTCACTGACTCAATTTTCCACCTCGTCAAGGGAGGCAGTCCCAGGTAGACAACAAGATGATTCAGTTGCATGGCCCGATTCAACCTCAAGAAGTTCCATGATGTCAGACGCGGCGAAGATCCTCGACAACCTCTTCTTTCAGGGAGCCTGACGGAGGGTACCCTCGCCGTCAGGACGACGACCCTACGCCCGAGGGCGTGCCTGGCGCTGAACACATTGACTACCGCGTCATGGTGATATCCAAAGCGCCGGAGAAGGCGGCAAGTTCTTCTCTGTCCAGGATAGTAATAGTACACATGGGTCCGAAAATTCTCCAGTTGCACGTGAAGGGGTAAATCGGCTGACGTAGGCGCACATTTTCAACGTAAATGACCCCGCTCCTGCAGCCCACCAGCATAGTGGCCGTCAGAGACCTTAACCCATGGATGACCAGGTGGATCTTCTCATACAGCGTTTCCAAAAAGCACGTTATATTTTTAACTTCATTGGCTGCTCAAAAAGGCACGTTTCGCACATCGCTACCCACGTACCCGTATCGTGAAACAGTCAGTGCAAACCACTGGATAGAAAACTGCTGGGGTGTTGGTTACTTATTATCCTGGTACTGGGTCACAATCTTCTCGTAAATTTGCCGAGTTGTCACAAAACTTGAAGATCCGTGAAGTTCCATTTCAAGGCGAGCCACACCAAAGATTCACGCTGAATGCCATGTTGTATCACGAATGCTTGCTGGCCGCTTAACTTACATTCATTGATTCACTGGTGATAGAGCCTGTGTTGTTGAATACATAACAGTATTAACACCGCCGTGCGAAAACGCTGGTCGCCATTGTTGTTGTTGAAAGTGCTAGTTTCTGGTGACTTGTTAAAAAGGTACTCCTTGCTAACATGTACACCTTGTACATGACTTTGTGATAACAATATAGATGGGGGACTAAAAGTATTTTCGTCATAGAAAAAAGATATAATATTGTAAGGGTAACAGAAAATAGAATTATAATAATAGACTTAATTTTAATTGTTGTGTTTGAATATTGGGCTTTTCTTATTTTAAATATCTTAAAGATCAAAAAAATTAAAAAGAATATGTGGGTGACTAAAGGACACTAAGAGAATTTTTTAAAGAATTTCTTTATAGTTAAAAGAGAATTTACATAATATAATGTGATTCTTTTAGCTAGAATTTAACGTCTCATTTATAACTGGAGAAAATTATTTTGGTTGAAAACTTTTCCCTAACGTTTTGCACTTGGTTATATGTTTTGTAAAAAAACCCTCTTAATTTTGAGAGAAGGGGTGAAATTTCTCTTAAATATTTTTGAGACAACCGGTCCCAGTATGGGTAAAGTAAAAAGAAATAAAGTGTCCCACTTAAACGAATAATGGATTTGCAGGTTTGATCCAGCTAAGTTGTTTCTATTATATTTTTAATGGTCTTCCCAAAATTATATTTTTTTCCTTTTTCAGCAGACGATATAGATTAGTGTTACAAGAGATGTAATCCACTCCAGTGTCTCATGTGTACACTTGTGAACCGCGAATTTGGTTATTCATGGTTAGCGGGCGGTTCAATGATACTTCTTCGGGAGACTTCTTACTTGATTGTTAAGTCGTGGTGGGGTACACAGGCTTGTGTGTTGTGCGCATGGCCCGGAGAGAGGGATCATCCACAAGGAGAGCTACTACGGCCTTGTGTCTTCCTGCTAGGCCGTGTTGTAGTGAGAGTGTGGGACCCGCTTCCCACCGACCTGGACAGGCCCAGCCAGGAGCAGCACGTTTTAGTGGCGCAAATTATAAACTAAGCCCTGCTGGTGACAGCAAGGCTTCTGTGCAAACAGTTACAGGCTGTCTACATTTGCTCGGTGCATCTAATCCTCGCGTTGTCCCGATGGCGGGACAGATACTAGGTGTTAAAAAAAAACTCGGTCTATCTCTCATAGGATCAGTGGACAGATACTCACAAAATAAAAAACATGTAAGATATACATATGGCCTGGAAAAAAAACTTCCTACAGGGGAGGGGAAGTGAAAAAAGGTCGGTGGTGTGCCTAAACATCGTCGGTCCATAGGCAAGTGAGCGATCGATGGGCATCATGCCACGCCCTTCCTGCGTCTGGACAGATCCTGCAACACACGGAGAACATCGCTGCGGCTGAGCTGTGACGGTAATTGGGTTATGGTCTCCTCTGGAACGGTGAAGTCAAATCATAGTAGGAGTCGCTGCAGGTTTTCCACTGACAACCTGGGGCACAACATGCTGGTGCCCTCGAGTGATAGGCATCGAACAAAATCGGCAACTGCTCGAAGGATCTTCTAGGCAAGGACCTCTGGACACTTCTCGATGGTACTGTCACTGGGCTGTCACTGCCCGGTATGGGAGCCATGGGGCGAGTGTGGATGATGGTCTTAGCAGAAACAATGGGTGAGCGAAACTTGGGAGTCATAATATCATATGTGTCTGACTGCAGTGAGCGAGCTAGCAGTGTCAAAGTGACATCTTTGTGCAAGCTGCCCCTCACGTGAGAACTTGTGACACGAGGCTGACACAGCGCCATGCCGGACAGGGCTAACTGCTGCTTGACGATGTGTCATTCTCTCGGCAGTTGGAGTTACAGGCAAGAAGGATAGTCTATAGCGTCCCCCCAGACTTGTTATTTCTCTACATACAACTGCATTCTGAAGTCTGGAGGTGAAGTGAATACAAATCTCGATGGGAATCGTTAGCTAGGTACGATTCTGCAGAACATCATGAGCGACGAGCATAAGAGCTTTCTTGTTAACAAGAGGCTCGAGTTCAGAGCTGACTGACATCAGCTGTCAAAATCACTGGTCACATCAGGTGATTAGCCACCAGTGTAGCTACTCAGGTCTGTCCTCCAGACCTCAGTCTGGATCACACTCAGCAAGAAGAAGAAACTACACACACCCACGGTACATGCAGTTATTACAACATGGCCTTAAACTGCAAATGATGCTTTTTCTGTGCAAAAAACTGACACTAAGCCATTACACTAACATTGTGAGATCACTCACTGAGAGGGAAATGTAATTAACACCTGACATATCTTCTCCCAATCTTTTCGACATATTGTAATTTAATTAAATATAGAAACATCGGATGTGACATGTAGTGATGTCGGCTGTCTATTGCGAGGGTTGACGTCAGCACCACTCGTGACTGCAGGACATCTCGAGGGTGTGACTGTTCAGGCAGACATTGACATGTGAAGCGTTCTGGCAGGCTATTGTTCGGTGTGACGTCAATGTGATTGCGGGCACATGCCACAGAATGTTGGGGCCTGGGACATTTGGCCGTTAGGTAACCCACGTGGCTTGTAGACATGTGACATCGCCCACACCCCAGTGGCGTCGGATCCACGTACAGAGTGTCAGGTTCTACATGAGCATGCTGATCCACGTTTGTGCTTGCCTGATTTACATGCTATGCTGATCTATGTGGCTTGATGATCCACTATGGCTTGCTTGATCCCGTGGGCTTGCTTGATTACGTGGCATGCAAGCCTCTTGGCTGCTGATCTGCGTGGTGTGCTGATCCACTTCGTTGGCTTGTGATCTATGCGTGGCATGCTGATCACGTAGCTTCGAGTGGTTCCTTGGACACTCGGAATACACAGCTCTGGGCAATGAATTCACAATGGATCCTGGAAAACAGCAGCCTACCAAAAAACAAAGCAGAGGGTGTGCGAAGTAGTGTGTTTGAAGTGTACGGGTAGTTGTGGTCTGGGCGGAGGAAGCGTGTGTTTGAGTGTTATTTATGGCGAGAGGGGGGATCTGGCCACTTGCTCCTCTCAAACCCTCAACATGGCAAAAACGCACACTGAATGCAGAAATCACCACAAAACTCGCCTCTGGCTTGCTGAAACAGCTGTGCTGAGTTGAACAAAAACAGCAACATACAAGTGACACTGAACAAGTGACTTGAGAAACAGTGTGGGACGCTGTAGCGTGGGATCACTGGGACACCACTTACAATTCTCGAAGAAATTCGGCAAATTTCGGCTAGATCCTGCTTGTACCTGTGTCTGGATGCTCAAATGTGCAGACACGATGTCAGGATAACTCGTTGAGAGACGGATGCTTCTTGTATAGGGTGATAGTGAAGATGACTTCATACCTTCCTTCCTCTCTCCGGGCAAACACAACTGCTGCTCCGATAGATTTCGAAAAAGCCATTGACAACATGCCCATGCACTCAGCCCTAGCCCAGACTTGTGGAACTCTGTTTTCATTAAGAACTGCAAGAAACCCCTCTCACGTGCCCTAAGTACACTGTGGAGGAGGAGCTTGGACATGGGTGAAATTCCACAGTCACTTAAAACAACGGATATAGCCCCACTCCATAAAGGTGGCAGCAAAGCATTAGCTAAGAACTATAGACCAATATCTCTGATGTCCCACATCATAAAAATCTTTGAAAGAGTGCTAAGAAGCAGGATTGCAAATAAACCCCTGGCTGCCTTCAAGAGAGCTGGACAGATACCTAAAGTCAGTGCCGGATCAGCCGGGCTGTGGCTCGTACTTTGGACTACGTGCGGCCAGCAGTAACAGCCTAGTTGACCAGGCCCTGATCCATCGGGAGGCCTGGTCATAGACCGGGCCGCGGGGGCGTTGATCCCCGGAATAACCTCCAGGTAACCACCACTTCCCACCAATGTGAACCAAGATTAATTGTTATTATGGTAGCGGGGTTCAATGATACGCCTTCGGAGGCTTCTTACTTTATTGTTAAGTCGTGGTGGTTACACAGGTTTGTGTGTTGTCCCCATGGCCCGGGAGGGCCATCCCACGAGAGAGCTACTAGGCCTTGTGCCTTGCTGCTAGGCCGCTGTGTGAGTGAGAGAGTGTGGGACCAGCTTCCCGCAGACCTGGACAGGCCCAGAGGGCAGCACTTTAGTGGCGCGAAATATGAACTAAGATGGCAGACAGCAAGGCTGTCTGTGCAGACAGTACAGGCTGTCTACACACTGGGAGTGTACTATATATAGTACACTCCCAGTGTACTACATATAGTACACTCCCAGTGTACTACATATAGTACACCTCCCAGTGTACTACATATAGTACACTCCCAGTGTACTACATATAGTACACTCCCAGTGTACTACATATAGTACACTCCCAGTGTACTACATATAGTACACTCCCAGTGTACTATAAGTACAGTGATCACTGGTACACTAGTACAGTGATCACTGGTACACTAGTACAGTGATCACTGGTACACTAGTACAGTGATCACTGGTACACTAGCACAGTGATCACTGCTAGTGTACCAGTGATCACTGGTACACTAGCACAGTGATCACTGGTACACTAGCACAGTGATCACTGGTACACTAGTACAGTGATCACTGGTACACTAGTACAGTGATCACTGGTACACTAGTACAGTGATCACTGGTACACTAGTACAGTGATCACTGGTACACTAGCACAGTGATCACTGGTACACTAGCACAGTGATCACTGGTACACTAGTACAGTGATCACTGGTAACTAGCACAGTGATCACTGGTACACTAGT